TATAGAATTGAACTCTGGTGCTGGAGAAGACTCCTGCGGGTCCCTTGGACTGCAAGGTGATCAAACCGGTCAGACCTAGAGGAGATCAACCCTGAATGCTCTTTAGAAGGCCGGATCCTGAAGAGAAAACTCAAGTACTTTGACCACCTGATGAGAAGGAAGGACTCCCTGGGAAAGACTGAGGGCAAAAGGAGAAGGGGACGGCAGAGAAGGAGGTGGCTGGATGGAGTCACTGAAGTAGTAGGCATGAGCTTCAATGGACTCCAGAGTATGGTAGAGGACAGGAACGCCTGGAGGAACATTGTCCATGGGGTCACGACAGTCAGACACGACTTTGCAACTAACAACAACATCACAATTGGAATGAGAAAAGGGAATGTGTTAAGGCAACTTTAGTTGGGCTAAATAATTTTTGCTTTTTTTATAGCAGCCACTGATTTAACCTTCTCATATCTTCAGGGTCAGGACTTTAAAACATATTATTAACTATCAAATGTTTATTTGTCCTTTAAATGCATATTTCATTTTTTCAAAGTACTTTACAGGGCAAGTACGGTACTTGACATTTTGGTATTTGCCGCCTTTCTTTCTAAATAGCACCCTTCCCTTTGTCTGAAGGACAAACCTATGCAACATTAATGTAAAATTATCCAGACTGAATAAGGTTCAGTAACTGAGTGACGTTCTTGACCATTTAAACAACAACAACTTGATAACAGGGAAGAAGAGAAGCTATTGCAATGATTACTTACAAAGAAACAAATGTAATCTCAAGAAGACAATGGTTCAAACTGCTTTTCCATTCCCTTTCTCTTAATAATTAACTAGCCAATAACCTGGCGTTGCCCAGCTTTTATTCATAGGGAGGAAATGTCCGGACGAAATGTAATTTCTAATGTTGGATTTTCGCCCTTGCCAGAGGGAGCCCCCTTGTGGAGTACTGTAAAGCTGTTACGTGGCAGCTCCACTGTGCTGTACAGTAGAAACCAGTAAGGCAGTAGGGCACAACAGGCTGTATCTTAACAGAACACCCCCGCCCCAAGGGGTGTTAGGGGTGCCTTACCACCGCACTATTTTTCTCCAGAGAATAAGTCATCTGTCTGCCAAGTTTGGTTGAAATTGCTTGAGGCGTTCCAGAGTTATGCTGGAACATACAAACACACACAAACACAAACACACACATACACAGACACTTTTATAAATATAGATTTTTGTAAATCTGGGGATTGCTGAGACATTTGAAATGGATAATATCTAAGAAAGTTTCAAAGCCAGTTTGACTATTTCCTAAAAACTGTTCATAATGACCATCCTTTGTCAGTACTATTACTGTTCCTACTGTTGACTTGGTGGCATGTACTAACTATGGAGTCATAATCAAAGTAGATTGGCATTAATTGAGCTGAAGGTTCAGACAAAAATTGAACCTCCCACTGTTTCTGGGACCTTCAGCTCAATTCATGCCAAGCTAATGCCTGTTAAAGTTATTTTGATGTGAGCCTCCTTCATGCTATTGAAATAATAATAATAATGTATTTATTCTTCCTACTGGTCAATTAGCACTACTACCCCAGTTTCACCTATGGTTTGAGTTAGGGGTGGGTTTCTACCTGCGTTGGTACTGGTTCGCTTAGTGCGTGCACAGTTCATTGCAAATTGTTCTGCGCATGCGCAAAGACTATGAAATACTAATAAAAAACATGCTAGCAATGGCAGCAGAGACTGGGGAACCGATTCGGGGACGTGGCCAGCCTGGGTTGCTGCCGGTTCTGCAAACCAAGCCAAATTTCCACTACTGGTTTGAACCGGTGCAAACCAAAAGGAACCCACCTCTGGTTTGAGTCCTGGCTCAACCAGGGCTCAGCATCTCAAATCCATCTAGATGTCATAAACATAAACGCATCATATTAGGAAAGCAACTTGCATATAATATTGGAAGGATACACAGGAGACGTGCATGTGAAAATGCATATTTTCAAACACATTTCATGCAAATGCTCATCTCAAAGGTTATATAGAAATGATATAACCCTGAATAAATTCCCCATAGCTGTAATGGTGATAAATGTGTAAAGGAGTACTACTGTAAAAAGCTTAAGGGACAGTCCACCATGACTTACCGTACATGTTCATTGTTATTTTTCCCCAACTTTGCAAGAAAGACAACTAAATCAAATGTCTATTAAGCCCCTGATGAATAATAACATTTAATGGTCTGGATTAAACTGAAATACCAAACCACTGCAAGGATATTAGAAAAAATTAAGTCTGAAGTAGACGCCTACACTTGGGGTTCCCTTTCTTTGGGAAAACCCTTTTTGTTTCAGCAATTTATAATGATTTTCCTCTTCCTAATACTATGAATAGAGATATGTGGATTTGAGTAGAGAAATCAGAACTCTTTGTTGCTCCGTGCTTCAATAGGAATGGAAGACCTTACCTTGTGCTTAAATTTGTTGGAATTCTTGTTTTCTTTCTTATTTAGATCAATGAAATAGTGGGTGATACGTTCCTTCGACTTGGAGTCCATGTCCCATGAAATCTTGAAAGAATCACATGTGATGTTGCTAATCTTGATGTTATGGGGCACTGGGAGTTCTTCCATCTCGGCAATCCCACTGTCTTGTGATTTATTCCCTGCAGAGGTGTGGATAAAACATAGCCCCGGTTAGCAGAAGTAGAACTGGACAACATGGTTGGGCATGCACTCCTCAGGGGAATGAGAGGGAATAGATAGATGGGGTAAAGACCCAAGACTAAGTTGGTGAACAAAAGTGTTGCAACCCCCCCCCCCAAAAAAAAAACCCAACAGAGATTGGGAGTCATGTCCCCCTAGCAAACTTGCATATTTGGGGTTTCAAGGAGAGGCAGCAGCACATTAATTGTATCCTGTCTCACAGCTGAGATTCTTTTAGCCAAGGAAGAGACGAGGCAACTATAGAACCGGATCAAGTAATTTAGACATTGAGTAGGTCGGTAACTGGAGCGGACATTATTGCTATTCCATTCCCCATAGCAGAGCATCTTGGGGTCTGTTCTGACCTAGGCTTCCCCAAAAAGCACAAGGCAGAATCCTGGTCCTGACAAAACTCCATTTTATTAAATGAATGTGTAATTCCTCTCATTCACATTCAGCAAAGGCCTGACAAACAGTCTTTCAAAGGAATATTTATGACTACAGACCTTATCTATCTTGGAAAGCTGCCAAGTAAATATTTTCCAAATGAGGTGCTGTGCAAGGAAAGACTGGGCACAGAGTCTCTGAGATTCACGGAGAGATCTTCACACTCCTGAAATGAATCTAATGACTGAATGAACAAATTGTTTCCTGCAAAAGCCCACTCCCCTTTCACTCCTCTTTTATTTCCTATGGGAGGGGCCAATCACCTTCCACCTGTGACTTTACTCCCAAGTCTACCATGATTTCTAAGTTGTTCTTTTCTTCTGGCAGCTCTGTGCATGCACACACTGGAACAGGCTCTAGATGATCCTCTGCCTCACTGCTGTCTAGCTCCATAGGCACCTGATCACTGCCAGATGGTCTTGGCCTTGTCTCTGCCTCCAACACAGAGCCCTCATCTGAGCCTTCCCCAGCCTCCAGGACTGTCCCATGCTGCTCCCCAATCTCCTTACTGTCCGACTCTGCTGCTAGCTCTGCTGGCCGCTGGTGGGTCAGAACAGGGTCAATTGTGACAGGGAAGGGCAGTGGTGGGGTCGTGAGAGTGATGCTTTTCCAATGGTGAAACTTGGCTCATCCATCCAATAAAACTATGTCCCATTTAATATTCAAAATACAGCCATCTTTCCTGGATTTCAGAGCAGGGTTGAATTTATCTTGTTGTCGCAAAAGTGCTTTTTCCAAGCACCTTTCAACTTTGGTTAAGGCTTAACAGGCCAGTTCAGAAGTAACCGAGAAAAAGCAGAGCTGAGCCACTGTGATTTTTAAAGCTACCCAGAGAGAATGATGAAGTAATTAAAGTCAGATAGAACATTTATTATTCAAAAAATAACTCCTTTGCTAATTTAACTTCAACCTACTAATTGTCAACCTGGGAAAATGAGCACAAGAATTAATTGCAGATTTCGAATATAGCTACTTCAAAGGTTCTTGAATTCTTACAAGCAGCAATATCAGTGTTTGATAGGAATAATCAGGGCTGGAATTCAGTCACGGAATCTAGTGATGGAATTTCTTGACTGGACCTTGGAGAACGCAGTTCTCCATTCTACCTGAAATTCTTCACCAACTCTCAGAACTTTTTTCAGAAGGGTTGGACAACCACCCCACTTTTTTTTCAAGTGAGGGGGCTTCAGGAAATATGGGAGGAACTTTTAAAATATTCCATTGCATAAGGTCAGCTCAGGTACTGTTGTGGCCTGCCACTGCCAGCAAAGCTGGCGGCATACTCGGATGATGAGGAGGTTGGAGAGGAACTTGGATCAGTTCTGGAGTCTGGGGAAGGCTCTGATGGATACTCTGCATCAAATGGAGAGAAGAGCTAGGGCCGTCTGACATTTCCCAGCCACTGGAGAAGTGGCTGCCTTTGGAGGCTGAGTGAGGAGGAAGAATAGCTGGGGCCTGTTCCAGATGCACATATGCGCAGAGCAGATAGGAGAGGTGAACAAGGGAGGAGAAGGAGTCGACTCAGGAAGCAAAGCACACACGGATGCTGAATGATCCCTCTCTGGCTGAGGAATAAATAGAAGGAAAGGGGAGTGGTTGTTGTAGGAGACAACAGTTTGTATTTCTGAAGGTTTTGCTCATTGTGTTTCATGCCACAAAGACTGCTTGCCAGAACTTAATTTGCAGCCTTTCGGCTGGGAGCTCATGATCTTGCAATTATTGCAAGGAACTGATAAAGTCTGTTACTAAAGTTAACTCCTTGAAGGACTATTGCCTGGGCTTTTCGATGAGGGAATGCAATTA